AAAGATGGCTTAATCTGTTCTCTTTACTTATGATCATAATGAAAGTCCTTCATGCACTCTGCTTCTTTTCACTAATGTCTGAATGCCTAATGTTTTCCCTGCTGGGCAGAAAATACTGAACTACAACCCCAAAACTGGTGCAGGTAAACTGAATTCTGTGGCCTCTTTCACTGAGAACTGTGCACAGTTACAATTTGAATCGCCAGTGATAGATATCACGAAGATCTTTGTAAGTCAATGATAGTTGATGATATATTATGATGCAAATAAATTAGCAACAACAGCAAGACCACCATTATGAAGTGCTCTTTCTAAAGGATTACTTCCACAAACCTCTGTGCTTAAGACTGCAACAGAGAAACTGTATCCAGTAAAATATTGATGAGAGGAGAAATTAAAGATTAAATAGCTCTGTAGTGTATTGGACTAGTGAATGTAGCTATAAATGGCATGTGTACTCACAGCTGTTAAATGTAAGGGTTCTTTACCTTGCAATTATCATCACCATCAACAGCACAATGAAGAGGGATTGTTAAGTCTTGAACGTCCAACCAGACTGAAACTTTTTAACAATCAAAAATGTTAAGTGAATAAAACAAGAATTAAACATAATATTTCCTTATAAACACATGCAACTCAAACCTGTAAGCAAACTCTATAGGTAATGCCAGAGATAAATGATTCATATTATATAAAACTATAAGCCTTTAAGTCCATTTATGCAATAGCAATGTCAAGATTGATATTCTTATGTGAAAAGCAAATGACCCATTAACAAGGCAAGTAAAGGCAAAAACCTGACCCAGACAATTCTGGCTGAGGACTCCGTGCTAAAAAGGCATGGTTTTAAAAAGGTGAACAGATGCACATCACTGCATGGTTTAGGCCAACATCCCTAAAAATTATATGAATCCACCAAATGCATTTTTGTGCTGTTACTGTGTCAGCCTTCAAACCAGTCATCCGTACTGCCCCCCAGATGAGAATCTTGTACTGAGACAGAGTGTTTTCTTACTGGGGTTTTCCACAATGCCAAAGCAAATATGTTTCAGAGGGAAATCAAAGTAGCTTTGCCCTATATTTACTTTTCTCAAACCACACAGCAAGCCATTACTATACTAATCTGGATCTAAAAATGAGGCAATCCAGTTCTTAAGGGTTTTATAATATTCTCTAGACCAGCAATGACCTCTAACAACTTTAAAGCAAAACCAAGCTAATGATAAGCTTGGACTTAACAGCCCTGTTTCAGTCGGCACTAAATTATGTCACATCTGGCTATTTTTCAGCCAATGCCCCTTTCTATTTAAATTACAGCAATTAAAATGAGTAGTGGGATAAATCATTGGAACAAATGGCTTTAATAACTCCAAAGCTCACACCAATCCTGTGAAAAACATTCAGCTGTAATTGCGGGCAGCTTTTTGACACATACCCACTACCTGGTTCAGCAAAACAACAGGGTTCCAGGCAGTGCAGGGCTCCCAGAGAGGCTACAGCAGCAGCCAGATACAAAAAAACAGGAGCTGGGTCACGGCAGCGCTACATGGGATCAGTTCTCCTCCATTAGGCTTTATTTGAGTCATAGGTTCATATTATGACTTGGCAGGCCCCACCAAATGACTCAACTGGTTTTTGGGACCAATACAGCAGGGAGCTGTCACCTCCTATTTCAGTTAAACTGCATATTTCAGCAGGCATTCAGGGAGAGGAGGAGTTGACCCATTTTTTACAGATTTCACCCACCGACCGGTGTGCACAACAGTGGATGTCTACTTTTAGTTACACACAAAATGGCAAATGGCACTGTGGCTAAAAGCTTTGGGTTAGTTTAAGGTTCTTCAGTCTGAGAATATCATGAATCAAACGAAAAAACAGAGGCACCTAAAATAGGCTAATACTTATCTCTGTCTGGTTAGGGACAAAACTAAATTTGATTTCCACCATTTAGAAAATAAACAACTGCTAAAGGATAAACTTGCTTATTACAAGCATCTCCAACAGTCCAACAGTCTGTAGTGGTAGTCACTGAGCAGAGTAGTGAAAGGTTAATGACTTGTAGACTAATCAAACAAATATCACCTGGCTATGCCCTACAATTTAAACATTGACATTTTGGTTAAAGCTTAACAACCTATTTTTACCCCTGTTTGTCATGTGTAAACGGAATATCCCTTGCAGATTGGCAAGCCCAAGTCATATTCATAAGAACAATCTCATTAACAATCAGAAACTTAAAGTCAAAACTTTGAACAATCAAATAATCAAGAATTATTATATCATGTGTACACACAGATATAAGTAGACTAGGAAAATGGACCAAAGGACAGGTTGCTGTGTAATAAAATAATAAAAATATGGACTATATTTCATCTTACACTGTACTTTCCTGTGCTATTCGTTATGATTAAGCAAACAACGCTGTTGCTAATCATTAACTTGTAGTGATAAGACTGGAATCTGTTATAGTTACACATTACCAGCGAGTGTTGGTAATGTGCTAGGAAACATGTTGTCAAAGGAGCTTGCAAAGAAAAGCGTCTGGACTTCTTTAAGTTGCTTGAAGACGTTTCACCTCTCATCCGAGAAGCTTCTTCAGTTGAAGAAGCTTCTCGTAGCTTTGTGGCAAAAGTATTACAGCTACTGCTGATTTCTATTTTCTTTTTTTTCTTTTTCTTTTTTTTTTTTTTGGGGGGGGGGGGGTGCATTTCTCACATTAACATGTGTCAGATCAAATTTTAATTTTAGACAAAGATGACCTTAGATAATTCAAAATACAGTTTTTAAATTATGATTTTTTTTTGTTATTAAGGCAATAAAACTATCCAGGTTTACTTGGCCCTATGTGAAAGAAAAAAAAAACCATATCTGTGACTAACCACATTTTTTTCTTCAGATAGCCATGTTCAATTTCATTAGCCACACCCAGGCCTGATTACTGCCAGACCTGTTGAATGAAATCACTTAAACAAAACCTGTCTGACAACATGAAGTAGGTTAAAAGATCTCAAAATGTAACACATCAAGCAAAGATCTAAAGAAGTTCAACAACAGATGAGACACAAAACACTGACATTTATCAGGAAGGGTTAGAAAGCCATTTCTAATGTTTTGGACTCCAGTGAACTATGGTGAGATCCATTATCCACAAATGGAAAACTTGGAATGGTGGTGAACCTTTTGATGAGTGTCCAGCCTACCAAAATTAGTGCAAGAGCGCATCAACAACTCATCCAGTAGGTTACAAAAAAACCTAGAACAACATCTAAAAAAGTGCAGGCTTCACTTGGCTCAGCTAAGGTTCGAGTTCATGATTCAACAATAAGAAAGAGAATGGGCACAAATGGCATGCATGAAAGAGTTCTGAGGCAAAAACCATTGCTGACCAAAAATAAAACAAAAGATTATTTCACATTTGCCAAAAAGAAGGTGATGTTTTTGAAAATTTTGCATCCTGTAACATCTGGTGTAAATCAAACACAGCATTTCATAAAAAAAACATTATACTAAGACTCAAACATGGTGGTTGTAGTGTGATGGTCTAGGGCTGGTTTGCTGTTTCAGGGCAGCTTGCTGTGATTGATGCAAGCATGAATTTGGCCTACAATATGTGCCCTGAAGCTCAAGCACACTTTAGACGGGACAAAGACCTCAAACACATCAGCAAGTCCACCTCTGAATAGTTCAAGAAAAAAAAAGGAGGTGGTGATGGTTTTGGAGTAACCTATTTAAAGTCCAGATTTAAAACTGATTGAGAGCCATTTGCATGACCTTAAACAGGCTGTTCATGCTCAAAGACCTTCTAATGTAGCTGAATTAAAACAATTTAGCAAAGAGTGGGCCAAATTTCCACAACAATGCTAAAAACTCATTGCCAGTTATTTAATTTTCTGCTGCCAAAAGTGACACAGCCAGTTATAAGGTTTGGGAGACAATTAGTTTTTCACATAGCTCCTTGTAGGTTAGGTAAACTTTTCCCTTAATAAATGAAAAACCAAATTTAACAATTGCAAAATATTTTCTATTTATTTCAGTTATTTTATTTGGTGACCTGAAACATTTAAGTGTGAAAAATATGCAAAAAGAAAAAACAAATCAGGAAGGGGGCAAATATTTTTTTCATAGCACTGTAACGTTTAATGACTGCTCAAAGTATTATGGAATCTTGAATATTCCATCTCAACTGATTATTTAAGAAGATGATTGTTTCACATTTGTATTTCTTTGGTGATTTGTGACTGTGCAAATATGAAATAGTCACATTAGTAACCTAATAACACAGTTTTCTTCCGTTTTTACAGCTGTGTCCTGAACAGGAGACTCTCTTAATTACTACATTAAGTGTTTTTAATTTTTTAATAAGATAGCAACTTTTCTTCAAAGAACACATACAATTCATGAGGCCCCAACCATAACAGGACTCTTTATTTGGGTGAAATATTACACTGTAGTCATCGAAGCAAGTTAATCAAGGTTCACTTTAGAACCAGAAACATTATTTCCATGCGGGTAGGCCACCATCCACCTTGTTGTGCCTTAAACTTGTTTACATCAACACCTAGATCAATCCCAGTAAAAGGTTAACATCTATGTACCAGGAAGCAACAACACACACATCACTGGTTTCTGCTGTTAAATATTAATCAGAAATAAACCTGCAGCAATAAATTAGTGTTTTTCCGAGAATAGTTAAAGGAAACGTCTGTGTTGATCACTGTGCCATTTGGCCGAGTCGTGACAATGACCTGCAGTTATTCATCATTATTAAACAAACTACGGAAAGACCAGAACCGATATTCTGATAACTCTGTGATCAACCAAACAAACAAGTATGACAACCCGTCCATTGAAAACACTCCTGTCTGGATAACCGGAAATACAGTTCAAGCTAGTGTGTTGTTAGCTTTTAGCTTCGTATTAGCACCAGCTACCAATTTCAGCAAAACATCCTCTCATGTGGACAAACACAACACACTTTACCTGTGAATCGGTTGCCTTACCTGATTTCTGACCATACTGAAGAGGGGCGCCTTCAGACAGTCCCAAAGCCGATAGAAAAATCCCAAAGCTCAGCAACAAAACATATACACGGCGGTTCTCCATCCTTATAGCTTAGCTAACAAAATGTTAGCTACGTGAAATCAAATAAATGGCTGATTTTAAAAAAAGGCTTAAGTGTTTTAAACATTGAATAGCAGCTTCGCGTTAGTCTAGGCTACATAAACGAGCACATTTTGTCTGTTTTTGCGTCTGGCTATTCGCCAGCTAACTAGCTTTAGCTATCGATGCTAAGAGTTTCAGCTGACGACAGCAAACGCCGCTACCACACGCAGTGGTCGGGTATCCATGGAGACAGAGGGGGCGGTCACCTTTCGCGGCCTCTCATATTTAGTGTCTGTACTTTAGTGTTGTCTAAATGAACACAACAATGGGAATTTCAATCGTTATAGCCCCTGACTATCATGAAGAACCTCTCCTCCAAAGCGCCATGTTCCTGTACACCGTGACGTCACTGAAAGTGGGCCGTGAAACTTCAAGGAATTGACAGCAGCCTAAACCAATTACAAGGGACAATTCCGTCGCGTTGAACTCCCACAGCCAATCGGGTTCGAGCTTTATTCTCAGTCAGTTAAATCCAGTGATTTGTATCAAAGCTGAAGAAAGCTTTCTGCATTCAGTCAGTCGCCAACCATGTGAGGCACGTAAAAGTGGTTATGAAAGAAGACCTCTCTATATAAAATGTTTATATCTGTGTTTACGGCAAGTTATAAACTACAAAAATTTATGAATGTATTTGACGAGTGATGCTACCTTTAGGACCTTTATTATGGGTATGTGTGGTTTTATTCGTTGTTTTTGTTTTATTGTGAGTATGAATTTCATATAAATATGGCTCGTTGTTAGATTTACATGGAAAACCAAACATAGAAATAGCCTAAAAAAAATCTGTCCCCAAAACGGCATCAAGACTAAATGCATGTAGATATTGCTGTAAACCTGTAATTCCTATGTAATCCATAGGATGGGTTATATATGTTATTTTGCGTATTACTTGGAATACTGGTATGAAATTATTTGTAATACAATCTCGCCTGTATTTTAATTCATTTTTTTTAATTCAGCATGTTGTGCTCAAGAACGCATAAAAATCACATGCTCTGTTAAGACTGACTTCATTGCATGTTTTAAAACTTGCCACATAGGTGTAATAAAATCAAGGACAACTACCATTTTCACTTGAGTGTACCTGATTGTATAATCCTTATTAATTTCCCTACAAATGTACTACAATACTACAGCACCAACATAGCAACTGTGGTAGTAAAATAGATAAATTGCAGAAAAATGCATGTTTATGAGGATCAGATGTGTTGGGATGTGAATATGTTCTTACTGTGCTTTGGTCATGGATGCAAGTTCACAAAACAGTATGAATGGGAAAATTATCTGCTCTGATTAACTGATGAAGGGGGAGGAGGCAGTCGGTGGCGTGAAGGAAATCTCCCTTGGTTTGAGGACAGATACGTCAGGTTGCTTCTTGCACTCAGGATCACGAAGCTGTAAGAGAGTGTTGGTGGCTTACAAGCACAAAGCAAGAGCAACGGAGATCTCCAAACCTCACCCAAAGCACGGTGAGTACCACTTTTTCTGCAAATTCAAGTGCAGTTTTTCTGCAAATTCTTTGTGTGCTGATAGCTGTGTGTCACTGTTTTGTGAATCTTTAGTCCTCTAGCTTTAAGAGAGGGGGGATATAAATGTTTAAATGTAGGAAGACAAAAAAAATAAAATGTTCGGACCTATTTGTGATTACCTTTTCAGTTACCTGCAACTTCCTTTGTGGAAAAATGAATGTGTTTAACATTAGAAAACCATAATCCAATTCACATACGATGCTAAAATGATACCACACAATGAACATTTTTCCTACTGTGGAGCCTATGCTGTTTATAGCTATAATAATTTTACTTTATTGTTAAAATGGTACAGCCCTGCCCTGCTGATAAAAGGTCCCACTCAGCTCTCTTTTTGACTGTGCTGATCAGAAAAATGCCCACGTAGGTGATGATAATGCTTAACCTATCCACAAGTCCTGCTTTTCTTTGACAGTTGCAGCTATCTGGCGGCAGAAAACGCCCTCAGCAGTTCAATTTAGTGTCACTTTGCATTTCTTCCATGCATGTGTATGTGTATCCCTCAGGCAGCCACAGAGGACCATGGCATTTGCAGGGATGTTGAGCAACGAGGACATACAGGCTGCAGTCCAGGCTTGTCAAGGTGAGTCAGACAGCGCACACTAAAACTTACATCCAAGAAAAATACACACTTTGCAAGCATCTAATTGTGAACATAAGAACACGTACTTTACAGCAAGGGAATATAGGTCCATTCACATATACACAGCACACACAGAGGTGCTTATTAAACCCACTCCCACAGGGCATATCTGTATCATGTGATTTTCACAGTGGGGACAGGGTACCTGCAGGTAACCAGGCAGCCATGTGGCAGGAGAGTAGTTTCCAAAGTGGTTGTGTTGAGCATTAACACATAGAACACCAAATCACACAAGCTGTAAAGTCCTCACATCCAAAATTACTTAAATATTTATCTCTAGAAATTATGTCCTCATGACGAGGCAGACAAAGCTCGACTGATCTGATGAAAATCAAATGTCAGTGCTTTCATACCCTTAATTCAACCAAACCCGCCTGTTAGTAATGTTTTAGGCAAAATAGCATTAAGAAGATTTTTGTTTTATTAATCAGAAGTTTTAAACTCCACTGCAGTGTGTGCAAGTCTTTTTCAGAAAAGTCCTTTGAAATTATTTGAAGGTAGCTTGTACCAGAAGAATTCCACTATGACTGTAAATAAAAGGCTTTTAACATTTGCATTAGACCTATGGGCCATATTCATTGTGCTTTGCCTGCTTTAATGGCATAATGACATAGCCTGTAATGGTATAAGACGGTGATGTGCCACAGGGTGTATATTGGTAAATGTCATTGGTTGAAGAATGAAAGTCATCTGAGCGAATGAGTTAATGCGACATGTCTATTCAGTCTCCCGTCGTTCTTTCTTTCTTTCTTGTCATTGTGTGATTGACCTCTTATTCCCATGTGTCTGTTTCTCTTCCTCTCTCAACTATGTGTGTTTGGTGTGTGTGTCTGTGTGTGTGTACGTGGTCCAACGTAGCTCCAGGCACATTCAACTTCAAGTCATTCTTTGAACAAGTTGGACTGACTGGCTTATCTGAAGCAGACAGGAGAAAAGTGTTTACAGTCCTGGACCAAGACAAGAGTGGATACATCGAAGAGGAGGAGCTCAAGTAAGGATGGAGTGCATGTGTGTGTACGTGTGTGTGTGGCTGAAAGACTTGAGCAGGAGCACATGGTGGTACAGATGGAGTGTGTGTGTTTGTTTGTGCATGTGTGTTACATCTGCAGTTTGTCGTAACTGTCCCTCATGATGGGCCTCAGGCAGAGGTCACTGTATGAATGGAGCAGCCTTTCCGCTTTGCATGAATTGACTGATACATGAATTGAGTGAGTGAGGAGGACAGGGACAACTGAAAAAGGCTTAGAGGTGAAGAAAAGGCATCAGCAGAGATACAGTCTGAACTTACTGCTTCTATGTTTTTTTTTTTTTTATGTCTACCCTTCAGGCTATTTCTTCAGAATTTCTCTCCGGGGGCCAGAGAGCTGACTGTGGCTGAAACCAAAGCTCTGATGGCGTCTGGGGATAAAGACGGTGATGGCAAGATTGGAATAGAAGGTGAGTGTTTGTAAAACATCTAGAAGAGCTGTTAGCAGATGTGAAATCAGAGCAATTTGTGCTGAGGAGCTGTCCACCACTTAGTGCTGAAATTCTAGTCTTAAAAAAAAACTGATGCAAATAAACTTCTGCTCTCCAACAAGTTAAAAAAAAAAGAAAACAAAAGATTTCTTGTTTGTTGAGTCACCTTGCTTAACTGTAATGCTGCATGACAACCACAATTCAACTTTTGGCTGTCTCTGTTTTTCCCCCACACAGAGTTCTGTGATCTCCTGAAGTAAAGAGAAACTACATACACATACGACCGAGGCTGTCTACCCTTGTTCTGAATAATGGATTTGCAATGGAGATCTTGACTTTCTGGATTGTTTCATGCAAAGACCAAAAACCTCACAAAATCTTTACCTGCCTGCTGCTCTCCCTGTTCATGTGATGCAACGTGTATAAGATGTTTAGTAGACAGATGACCAAAGTTGGATGTTAAACATGTTTGTGTTTAATCAATCAGGTACCTTGAATCAATAAATGTGAACAATTAAAGAAGTAAACTTACTCTTTGCTTGTCTTTTTTATATATATATATATATATATATATATATATATATATATATATATACATGTAAACTTAAATAGATGCAAATAGATGCATTAAGCATTACATACTATTCATTCATATTCAATGACTTCACATAGCTCAGGTCAGGTTTAGAACTGAGTCAAAAATTGCTTCATAATAATTATCTACAACAATCTATTTAGAATGTATGAATTGCATTCTGCTGTTATGTTAATGCTTTAATAAATAATACTAAATTGGTAATATTTCAGAGGTCAGGGAGAAGAAGAAGAAAAAAAACATCTATTTTCACAAAATATCATGTTGCGTTTTACCTCAGTCAAGAAGATGTAGCACTGCTTTATTATGTTTTATGCTTTATTAAAAGTGAAAATGGCAAAATATCTGAACTCTTGGGATTTATAATATGATATATATATATATATGTATATATATATATATATATATATATATATATATATATATATATATGTATATATATTACAATTACTAATCAACATTGGTTCAATATTAATTATCACTTAGAGCACAAAACTTGCGTATTGCAAACTAGCCTGTGCATTTAAAGCAGTGGAAGGAAATGTTGTGTGTGGAGGATTTGCTCTTTATGACTTTATAATCTTATGACTCTCCAACCCTCTTCTGATCTGTGTTTTAATCTCAGTTTGCTGCATTCTAATGTGATTATGAGAATAATGAAAATAATGAATAATTATTTTCATTATTTTCTTACATTCTGGATACTTGAAGCACAACCAACAAGGGGCAGTTACACAATGTATTTGGATTCAAATAGCACTTTTCTGGCCTTACTGACTGCTCAAAGTAATTTGAACTGTAGGAGACAGCCCCTCCCAATTGCAATGGAGTTGGTCAAACATGCAAACTTTGCAGACAGGATTTCAACCAGGAACCTTCGTGCTGTAAGCTGATAGTACTAACGCTCAGAAACCCCACTCCTCTAGTTCACATCCTGTGACCGAGCACCATCTCTCATCCTTTTGTGCACCTTATACACATTTATACTGTTTAGAGCTTCCCCATGTTCCATGAACAACATACAATTTTAAACATTTTTATTTTTATATATTTTGGATCACTTTGAGAAAAGTAACCAAATTTCAGGTTAAAATTGAAATGAAATATATGAAATTTAGGGTTCTTATTCTGCTGTCTCCCTCATCACAAAGGGTCGCTCTGCATGTTTGAGTTTGCAGTTTGATGCCGGACACCCTGTCACAATCCCAAAGAGGTTTATGTGTCTCTGGTCGGAATCAAACCAGCTACCTGCTGCTTGAGAGGGTGAATTTGTCACCGTTATATTATTTGATCCAAACAGTATAGGGCTAAGTGTTTTGCAAGAGGGGAACTAGTTGAGAAAAATAAAAGGCAAAACTTTTGAAACTGCCATAGGTTGAAAATTAATCATTCTAAGTTATTTTGTGAACTTGGAAAACTAACTAAGATCAACTAAAAATATGAAACTATCTAGAACTAACATTGAAACTAATAAAAAAAACTAAACAAAAACAAAAAAATCTTCAAATAAAAAACAACTCAAAGGGGAAACAAATCTGGGCAGTAAGTTAGACTAAACAGAATTAAAAATAAAAAGTCAAACCAAAATGAAAATGAAAAAAATATTTAAAAATAACAATTCTACTGCTGATCTACTTTACCATGCAACAATCTCTAGACTTTACAGAGCATGGACCTAAAAAATATCCAGTGAGCAGCGCTTCTCTGGGTAAAAATGCTTTATTGATGTCAGACTTCAGAGGAAAATGACCAAACTGCTTTAAGTTGATAGCAAGGCAACAGAAAAACCTACAGCAGAGTATGCAGAAGAGCATCTCTGAACATAAACCTTGAAGCAGATGAAGCAGAAGACCACAGAGGAGCCGCTCCTGTCACCTAAAACAGGAAACTGAGGCTACGATTCACACAGGCTTACCAAAACTGGACAACAGAAGTTTGGAAAAAGGTTGCCTAGTCTGATGAGTTGTGTCGTAACATTTAGATGGTATACTGTCAGAATTTGGCATTAGCCACGAAAACATGAATCCATCCTTCCTTGTAGTAGTGGTTGTGGTGGTGTAAATCTGTGGGGGATATTTTCTGAGGATCAGTTGAAACACCACAGCCTGCTTGCCAGTACTGTTGCTGTCATCTGAAACTGGCTCCTTTAACATGACAATGATTTCACTCTACTCAAATGGTCACCGCATCCCCATTGAGATTTAGAGAAAATCCAAAAAGGTGAATGAAGAGAATTGCATCATGGATGTGAAACAGACAAATGTGCAGCAGCTGTGCAATGCTATCATATCAATATGGACCAATATCTCTGCAGTCCAACCCAGTATTAGCAAGGTGTGCCTAATAGTGTGTATAATGCAGGTTCTGAGAGAGCCACTGTTTTACTTTATTAAACTGATATCCAGTATTTCCATTAAACATGAAATATTTATGTTAAAGTTGCTTCTTCCAATGCTTTTACTTAAAACTGCTTGCCTAAAACTGGGATCTAACCAAAGACCACTACCATGGTTCTGACAGTTAAGAATATCCTCATTTTGAGTCACTGCTGTAGACTCACTAGCACGAGTTCAGTTTGACCAGACAGAAAGAAAAGAAAAGAAAGACTGACTACACAGAACTACCAGACTGAGATCAGCAGTCTTTGGTTTAAGCTTTATAAGGATGTTATTCACAGACACATGCTGGTGTGACTACTGAGGATAGCATGGAAAACTGTCATGCTTGCAATCATACAGCATGTAAAAAAATAGGCCTCAAAGTCTCAACCCTGATAAGGTGGTGGTTTAGTTTGAAACTCAACACTTCATGAAGAGTTCAGATGGACCTTGTGTATACTGTGCTGTAGCTTATACACTAGGTATAGCTAGTTAATGTTACAGGACAGCATATAGGCAGAAGCTGCACATGTCTATCATCTGAGACCATCTTGCCTGGTGTTGCAACTTCAGAGGCAAGAATAGAAAGCCTGACACCAATAAATAAGAAACTCTTAATAATATAAGGAAAAAAGATTGCATTTATGTAAAATAACCTGGAATTTGTGTAAATCTAGTTATAAGTCGCCCAAGAGCCACAGCCACTCTACAACCACGAGTATTAAATATTGCTGGAAAGATTTATCATAAAACAGCTCTGTTAATGGACTGTATGGACTCACTGTGGGTTTATATAGCATGTGATTGGAGTATATGATGCCAGAGAAAACACGGTAGCAATAAACACTATCAGAAGTCTAAAAGGCATAGGAGAAAATGGCTCTGTGATCATATTGACATGGAAATCAAAAATAAAGGTGTTTTAAAAGGCAGTCCTTTCCAGTGGTCTTCTCTTCATAGTGAAGGCTTATAGTGACGTTAATAAAGGTTATCCTGTTTAAAGTAGGAAGTTGAATTGGCTGGTGTTCCTTTACATGGTTCTCACAAATCAAAATAAGGATGACCTGCACCCTCACATGTATCAGTTCCTTTAATTTATGCTCGTAGAGGAAACGTTCTGAATCAAAATCAGCATGCTGGCAATAAATCATATAGGTGCAACATGACCAGTGAAGTCGGGTAGCAGCGGGCATGCTCGAGTTACACATGTCTAGCTATAGGCCTCACTCACACATGGTAGCATCCTCATTTGTTCACCTAAAAATAGGTCTGGACTACTAGACACATTTTTTCGAAACCCATGGATCTTGGTACCTGATACTGGGACTCAAAGGTCTGTAAATGGTGTTGCTCAAGGATATATAAGAGAGAGGGAAAGGGGATTCGTGGCATTCACTCGAGTCCGCCTAGGTTTTCACTCGCCTCAACTCAGCGCAAAGGTGAGTGCGGGGATGCGGACGAACGCCACACCGACTTCTACACTGGAAGGGGGAAAAGGGGATTCAGACAAGGAGATCCACGTGGACTATAAACTATAGAGAGAATTGGAACAAACATAGCCAACAACTTCATGGACCACAGGATAATTCAATTAGCGCGCAAAGGAGGCCAAAAGATTTCAGAAGAGCGCCGTTTGTGGATGAATATTGTTATTTACATTATCTCTTTTAACGGGATAAAAGAAATGCTATGATAACACACCTAGGGTTATTGGCGCGCTTGACGTCACTGGTGCTTTGTTTATTTGTGTCAGTGATTCATGTTGCCGTGATTTGGTCTCTCGGTGGAAGCATCATCTATTTCGTGCCATAGCAGCAAAACGCTTTGGGATACACAGTCAGTGCCGTGTTGTGATTAAACATCCGGAGGCGAAGAGCAGCTCTTAAGAGTAGTTGTTTATATTAATCGGGACGGGTAGAGCTGCATGGTAGACTTTGGATTAAGGAAAAGAGTTGATTCGTGACCAACATAAAGTAAAAGGGGGCTTTGCTTTATTGTGGATTAATCCTTGTTTAAGCTTTTGACCACTAATGTCTGATTTGACCCTTCCTGTGTTTTATTTATGATTACTCACATCATATAGTTAGGTTCACTGTAATGTAGTCAAAACAAAATAGGTCAAATTGTCCAGTTAAGTTGGAGAATTGAAAAATGATCTATAATCCAATAGTATGACCACTGCATAGGACTTATAATGACCATACTAATCCAGTTATCTTGTCTTTTTTCCCTCTCTAAGATTAAAAAATGGCCTTTGCTGGTGTCCTCAATGATGCTGAAGTGAAAGCAGCTCTGGATGGCTGCGCAGGTGAGCATTCATTATCATTATTTCATCAGACAGTGAACAAGCTGTTCTAGTTTTTCATTATTCATGTAACTTTGTTGAACATTTTACTGCTATTTGATTCAAAACACCAACAAGTGATGCAACTTGGCTTCAGTCAGAAAGCAGTAAAGTCTCAGTTTCACATTGTGTCGTATAAACAGTCACAGTTATCGTATTGCATCAACAATGAAGTCCTGACTTGTGCTTGCGCAGACTTGCTGGGCGCTA